GTTCACATATGCAGAAAACGTAATACTTCAAGTCGAAGGATAGTTACACCCGTGGTCGCGCTAAAGATGCTTAGAGCATGAACTAAAAGTTCAAGAAACATCTTTAGGATGGGTCAGTCCGGCATCCTATTATCTCTAGATAATATCTGCCCATGTGCGGATGCGAACACACCGTCATTGACTATGAGACTAAGTCAAACATCCAACACACACTAGTCTCACATGCATTAACGATATCCCACTCTCGTTAATACTCGACTATGGACATTTAGATAAATATTTATTTCAAGATGTTAGTCTCATCAGCAGAAAAACACTATCTGATAAACATCTTTTAAATATAAATCTAGGAATATAATATTTGTTTACATTAGCATGAGATGTGTAAACATATTATATCTGCCTATACATGATAGAATAACGATAAACAGTTGGCCATCAAGGCACAACTCCAACAATCTCCCACTTGCACTATGGCCAATCTGGCATCGGTCTAATGCCCATGGACCTAGTGTGACCCTCATGGGTTCCTCAACTGAAGACCAATGATGGTAACCTTATAGAGGTAAAAGCAAAGCTGATTTCTAAACCGACCAAGTTCATCTATATACGAAAACATCTCAAGTGTGAAGTCTATTCGTGCGATACCCAAAAAGAAACATCTAAGCTGAAGGAACGTACCGAAAGTATGTCACCCCTCTGATATGAACTTCCTTATATTTTACCGTTCCAAGAAATTGAAAACTCTGTTAATCTTGATCCTATAAAGGACCAATATTCGTAACCTCGTATTTAATGTGTTTTCGTCAAAACTGAAAAAAAAACTCAATTATGAAGATTGCCTGACAAAGAATCATCTGATAAAGTGTTTCCTCCTTAGGAGAATACCTGTTTTGTTTATACACGAATCAATGAGACTCTATATCAACTACTATCAGTTGAACAAATCGTTATCCTTTAATTCGTATCATGACTTATTTGATCAGCTTAGAGGATCCATTGTATTCTCTAAGATTGACTTACGGTCAAGATACTTTCACATCCCTGTTAAGAATGATGAACGAACTGGCGATCGGAAATTGCTACCCTTAACTACGTATAGATGATTTGTTCGAAGAACCTGTTTGTTAAACTATAGACATCTCGAACATGTTGAATGAACTGATGCCTTGCTATGAAGCGACTAATGATTTAGTTGTTTATCGTCAAAAACGTCGAGGTAGTCTGAATTGACTAAGTGAAACATAGGGATGCTGACTAGACAAATCAATTGACTCGTTTGACGTGAATAAATGACGCCAACAGTGAAAGACTGAAGAATGAAGCAAATGTAGCTCGCATATGTCTAACCATTGATGTTTATGGATAATATTATTTAAACACAAATACAACTTGGATTACGTGTAGAAAGTTATAAATGCAATTCCATGT